TGGTTTCTCTCCTGGACTAAAGTCTGGTTTAAATCCTGCAGGACTGAAGGGCTGACCTCCAGAGGAGGAGCGACTCTCTGACAGCTTTCTGCATCAACCCTCTCTGAGCTCCATGTTGCTGAATGAACAGATTCACAGCATGAGCAGCAGATGAGCAGCAGATGAGCAGCAGATCAGCAGCAGATGAGCAGCAGATGAGCAGCAGATGAGCAGCAGCTGAGCAGCAGATGAGCAGCAGCTGCCGGGTGAGTTTCAGCTTCTTTCACCTTCATCACTGTTTCTGTTTGAAAATGGAAAAGTCTGGAAATATGAGAGCCGTATAAAACAAAATGTTTGTTTAAGTCTGTCTGCGCTCAAACAGCAGGCAGTAAAACACACATGGTCCCAGAGGAATGGGTGTGGGGGGGGGAGGAACCTTCAGCAGATCCGCTTCCTGATGAGGAACATCTAATATTTGTTCAGCTCCAACTGGCTGCATCATCTGACTGAACAGCCGAGAAGCAGAGGTGTCCGACGCATTCATGTTTATTCCTGCTGTTTAAAAACACTTAGAGGATCAACTGCAGCTTTTTACTCCAGGAAAACTGTAAAAGTAACATTTTTAAAACTACTTCAAGTATAAAAGTAAAAGTAATGCAGGAAAAACTGTTAAGGCCAGAAGCTTTACTGCTCTACTCTATTAAAGGAACATTTTCTACATTTCTGGATGATAACTTCCTTAGACTTCATTTTCTTAGTTTTATAACTAATAGTAACAGCGTCACATTTAACTTTGCATCATCTGGAAAAACTATTTATTTGGTATGTGAGCAACAAGTTGGGGCAGCACCGAGTCCAACCACAAAGAAATTAATTGTCTGGATGAAACTAATTATTTTGATGGTTTTTATTGTTTTTAAACACCAACAGAATGAAAATGAGCTTAAATGAAACAAAACTAACGAGTCTATTTTTAAAATATAAGGAGAAGAAATAAAAAGTTATCCAGAAAATAATTAATCCAGTAAAGTAGAGATGGCCGACATTTCTACTTAAGTAACAAAGTATTTGTAGTTTCTTACGTGACACCTGTGCCCAGGTGTTCCATGCAGCTGATTTTGGAAAAATGACGTCTAATTTATTTATTAAAGGTAACATCTGGCCTGATGCTGAAGCTTTCTGAAGGATGAATGTTTGTTTCAGTCTGCAGCTGATCAGGGCCGCTCTAAACCACAAGCTAGTACCGAGGGCCCCAGGCCAGCAGGGGCCCCAAACACGGCTGGACACATTTTTTTTTTTTTTTTTTGGGGGGAAAAACTTGAAAAATATGAGTGAAATT